CCTGTCCCTATCATTAAAAAACAAAATTTTTTGAGCACACATCCCCTACATATAGATTGTATGTATTTATGAGAAATATGTAACTTACATACACGCATGTATGTACGTATGTTGACTCCACAGAGCTCAGTTGTCTTCTATGCATAACTATATACATCTATACTGACATATTTTTATATAAGACGTGTGGAGAATAGAAATTTTAAAAGGATGAAATAATAGAAAGCTTTAATAGAAGTTGTATTGTTTTCTTCTACATTCCAATGTTTCATTTTGTATGTAGCTTGGGACAATTCATCTTATTTTGGAACTCAAAAATACAAATGACACTCCTTCACTAATAATGGTTTTTTCCCCCTCAGCTAAGCTTTTAAGTAAACATGGGGCAGCATGATTTCAAGGTTATTTCTCTGACAAATACCTGGAGTAGGGCTATGCAGCTGGCTGGTGTAGAGTCACATACTTTCATAGGAGGTGGTGGCGAAGAGGGACATACCTTATGAGAACTGACCTTGCTAAAACACACATTTGGTTAGAACTCTATTCTTACTCTATGGAGGTAGATCACATTGTGCCAGGAAGAACACATAAGAGAATGATGAAGGCCGCAGGTCTAACTATACTATATATCATTGCAATATAATGATATATAATACATACGACAATATTGTCACTCTAATATAAATCTATATAAAGACATGTTCTTGTTACTATCTGGACTCTCTGCCAGTGATAAAATTAAATTTCAAAACGTTAGAATCCACAACGTATGCTATCCAACTGTTAATATCCTAGCCTTGCATATCATTGTAAAAACCTCCAGTGTGTGACTTTAGTCTAACATTTAAATGAGGATTCAATAACACACTATTATGCAAAACAGCACACACAAAAAACGTGAATATTCACTCTGATAATTCTTGGAGCAGTAATCAAAGTTGCCTCAGATTTTACTCAGTACTAACAAATCAAGAGTTCTATTTTTCATGCTTCTCCATTTCTACATTTGTGTGCCTACAACTTTTTAATCACCAATGATTTTGCAGTGATAGGTATTCTTTTTTTTTAATATAATGTTTATTTGGGGGGGGGGGCAGGGGCAGACAGAATCCGAAGCAGGCTCCAGGCTCTGAGCTGCCAACACAGAGCCCAACACAGAGCTGGATGGAACTCATGGACCTGGAGATCATGACCTGAGCCGAAGTTGGACACTTAACGGACTGAGCCACCCAAGCGCCCAACAGAGGTACATATTCTTATTGCATGTATTGGTTAAAAGCTTAGATGGGAGAGAACTAACACTTGTTGAGAGTCTAAATGCAAACACTTTGCTAAACGTTTTGTAGCCATTTTATCATTTAATTTTCACAACAATCCTTAAATAAGAATTATCATCTCCATTTTATAGATCAGAAAAATAAGGCTTCGGGGCTTTAAGGTCAAGGTCACACGGCCCAGCTTTAAACCTACCTGTGTCTGGCTTCAGAGCCTATTCTCCCTCCCTCACACTGAAAAAGAGGTGACAGTAACTGAACTAATCCAAGAATATCAACATGAGATGCGCAGTCTACAAATGAAAAGGTAATGTCTCCTGATTCTGAAAGATGACTAAAGTATTTTAAGCGGTAATTATAAGTGTGCTAAAGCCAAGGCCCTGGAAAAGATCACTATAAAACTACCTTCCACTGTATTAGATTGCTCCTCCTCTACCCTGCCCTTATCCTACAGCCCAAATACAAAGCTTAAGAGAGTCGGAGTTGACGCCATAGAATTCAGTTGACTTTAAAGCCTGGATTACTACAGAAGCATTGCTCAACCCTCCCACCCGAAAACCTTTGTCACAAAACACAGCACAATTCCAAAAAAATTGAGTATTAAAAAAACTAAAAGGCAAATAAGCTAAATAAACTTCTCAAAGAATTCTCCTTAAGCTCTCCTTAAAGATCAATGTTATAACGGGTATCATTACTGCAGTAAATCATATACTAACGCATAATATTTACTTCATACTTCAGTATACTAAAGTACACTAACATTATTATACTATTCGTTCCATTATCCAACTGGAAATCAGAGCCAGTAATCATCTCAGACTCCAGAGACAGGCTTCCTAGTTCAAATACGAGGGGAAAAGACAACTTTCCTAATGATACCAACTGCAGAGAGATATTTAACTGTGAAGGAAAAAAGGATCACTTTTGGGTTGCACTCAATTTATGACACATTTTCTCATTTGCTAAATCTTAGGCTTGAAAGAGACCTCAGCATCTCCAGTTTTAGTTCCCAGACAAGTATTATTACTGCCCACTTTATAGAAGAGGTAACAAAATTCCAGATCTTCCAAGAGTTGGAAGGATCAGCATCTTTCAGTTTCTTAAAGAATTCTTTGTTTTCAACCACAGGAACACTTTTTTTCCAACAGGACAAGTGAGAGCCAACATGTGCGAGGCATTTATGAAGAATGAAACACATATGTTATCGTTAACTCTTACACTGAGCAGATTTTACAGAAATTAAAATATCTAGGATTTCGCCCAAGGTCACACCTACAGGAAGAGGCACAGCAGACTTAAATCCGGGAATGTGCACACGAAAAAGTCTAGGGAGAGCTTGCTCAGTAATTTCACGTGTAAGGACAGACTTAAACAAACTGAACCTATGCGACGTGGTAGGACACCGACTCTGAAACCCGGGTTACGCATCTGCAGGCCTCTGCCGGCGGGAGCTGAAGGAAGTGTGACCTTTACTCCAAACCCTTCAGTGCGACAAGCCGGCTCTGCTCCGCGTGGGTCAATCTACCGCTACTCTTGGAGGGAAAGAGGAGTGAATGAGAATTTCGTGGGGGCCCACACCGATTCGTGGCTGCGGAAATGGAGAAGGATAAAATCCAGAGGCCCGGTCCGGGTTTGGGACGCGCCTAAGGGATGGGGTGCAAGAAAGGTCGCGAAGGGCGCTGACTCGAAAATCACAGACTTAGGAAAGACGTGGATGGAGAGAAAGCAAAAAGCATGGAGGATGTTAAAGTGAGACCGATTCTCTCGAAGGGAAGAGATTGGGGGCTGTGGGTGATGCCTCCAGCGGCAGGGTGTCCGTGGCCTCTAAAGGTCTATTTTCGAGGAAGAAGGAGGGAAGGTCTCGGAGAGAGCTATTCTGGATCTATTACCTGCTGGGTGGTTGTAAATCGGCCTCAATTTCTCCGGCAGCATGAGCTCCACTTTATCGAGGACCCGGTGGTAGGTGGCCCGAAGGCCCCGGACGCCAGCGGCTGACATCTCTGCGGACGAGTGGTCGTGGGCGGCCGAGTGGGGCAGTGGCCGCGTGCTCCTCCCTGGATGACAACGAAGGGCACTCGTCACTTTCTCCTGCCACAGCGCCTCGCGTCCTCCTCTCCCCTAGCGTGCCCTTCCCGCAGCTCCGCCTGCCCCGCTGCGAACCGCCGGGTGGCCGGGGCCCAGAAAAGACCAAGGGGGCGGAGGCTTTGCGACGGCCCGCCCCGGGTCCGCCTCCTTCCCCCCGGGCGCGGGAAGGAGGAGGAGTCATGGCAACAGGTGCCAGAAGGACTGCCTCACCAAACCAACCCAGCGCCCTGGCGGCAGCGCGCTTGCGCAAGCCGAGCTGCCCACTGTGATTGGCCTGCCCCACGGTGCGGGCGGGGCCCAGCGCGAACCTCTAATTTCTCCTTCCTGCCCTCGAGGCCATGTTGGAGAAGGGAAAGTGAAGCTGCACCGGCTCTAGTTCCCTTTCACTCTGATTAAGAAGGCCCGTAGTTAAAATGGGCTTTTTGGGCCTTCAGTGACCCGACTAAAGATGACGCCGCACAATGCTCTTGCTTCGTTTGGAATAAGACTCGTGACTGAGACCCTTCACATCTCATCTTCTTCTCTCTCAATTCCTCACTTTTCCATAAGAGTCAAGGATTTGGCTGCAGGGCCCCGAACCCACTTTTCTAGGGTGAGGGCAGCCGTGGCGCACACGGGCCTCAGTCCCGGGGGTGGTCGTCATCTCGCGAGAAAGGCTTGGAGGGGAGGGTGTTGAGAACGAGGAGAGGGAGGAGTCGCGGCCGCCTCCGCCTCCTCCTGTTGGAGGGGGGCCGAGGGAGGGGACTGTTGCTGATCTCTGGATGTTCTGGGTAGTCTGAGGAGGAGAGTATGAGGCGAGCTCCGGCCCGGGCGCGGCCGGGCTTCGGGGGCGAGGGCGCCGCCGCCATCTAACTCGCTGCGCTCGCGAGGCCAGGCGCGCGGATGGTGCTGGTGCGGCTCGGGTGTTGATCCGCGTGTCCCCTCCCCCTCCTCCCCTCCCCCACGCGGTGGTCTCCCCTCCTACCCCGGCCCGGCAGAGCCATGTCTCGGGGTGGCTCCTGCCCACACCTGTTGTGGGACGTGAGGAAAAGGTCCCTCGGGCTGGAGGACCCGTCCCGGCTGCGGAGCCGCTACCTGGGTGAGCGGGGGCCCGGGGGCGGAGGCGCTGAGGTCGCCGCCCAGAGGTGGGGGAGGGGGCCGCGCCGCCGGGGCTGTTGGAGGTGGGACAGCGCCTCGGCAGGGGCGCCCCGGAGACTCTGGGGTGCTGGGTGGACATTGGCCGACGGACCCCTTGCCGGTGTCCTCCCACGGCCAAGTCCCCCTTTGCATGCTGCCAGCCGCCGCCCTTGTTGGGTTTTCCTCGGGGGGCTTAATGGGGGGGGGGGGGGCAGACGGCACTGGTCCGGAAAGGTGTTGGGGGTCGCTTGTGGAGTGGGATTGGGGAGAAGACTTGCCGAACCTCCCGGAGCTGCTTCGTTTCGAGCCAAAGTTGGCGCTTGTGCTCTTCCCCAGCGCTCTCCCCGCTCCGCCGAAGGACTAAGTTTTTGTTGACAGCCCCCTCCCTTCCAGTCCTCGGAGGGTTTGGGTGTCGGCGGTGACCACCTTCGGGGACTTCACGCTCCAGACGGACTCCGCGTAAACTGTCCTGCGGCTCGGAGCCAAAACCTAAAAGTGATAGCTGAGCTCTCCCCACCCCCGCGCGCTTTCCCTGTTCCACTGTGTGCTGTTCAGTTCGTTTTGACCGCTTTAAGGAGGTGTAGGGTTTCACGTTCCTATTCCCACCCCTGTAAAACACACTTGGCATTTACTGTTTCTTAGTTAAGCTTTCTAAAAACAACCTTCAATACTTGAGGGAACAGCATGCCGCTTTTTTTTCGTTTTGGATACAGTGGTTTTGTGAGGATTCTGGGTCAAGCCGAGCTAGCTGAAAAAGTCCAGTAAGGTGGACGTATTTCTAGGAAGGGGCTTTTTTCTTCTGCAGTCTTGCAGCACGTGTTAGTCTTTTTTTTATTTGAAGATAAGACATCATCTAAAACTTTTTTTCTTTCCGGTTTTGTCACTTTTTGCCAGGCAAGTATTCGGTGATGGCATTTGGTGTTGCCTTCAAATCATCTTTTGGAAAATGAAATCTTACACCTAACGGTTCTGGTTTGTAAATTATTTGAGAGCACTGAGCAA